CCTTCCATAAGGAGGAAATTTCATCATTAGTTAAAGGTACTATAATTTCTGCTGGATCTTTTCTAGTCAGCTGACGAAGTCTTAATTTGCCCTTTAAAATCAAATCAGAAATCTTTTCTATATGTCTTTAACTTTTTATTTTGCTTATGTGGCAAAAATATCCATTCTAATATAGTGTCTTCCCTCTGCATCAGAATTCCAGAAGGGTATTCTCTGGATGGCAAGATAACCAGAATACAGTCTAAATTAAGGTTTATCCGATCTACATGTGCATTCAATATTCTGTTTTCTACCCATTGTAACTCTTTTTCTGCTTCATCAGATAATATTCATGGACTGTTTAGGTCCTTATCATCTTTTAGCGCCATTTTTAAATGTTTTCAGTCATGTCCTTCTACATCAATAATCGTCTGCAATTGATAAATTTCTCCTGGTAGCTTTTGAAGATTATTAAGAGTTTAATAATGTTCCCTTTTAATTTGTACCTTCTGTGGTTTAATAATTTGTACGTCTATCTTACATCCTAAATAGTTAATAGAATCTCCTCTTTGTATCTTTTCTGGGGCAATTTGTATACCCCATCTAGGCAGAACCTCCTTCACCATTTCAAACATACATTCCAAAGTTTCCTCATTAGAATCAGATATAAGAATATCATCCATATAATGATAAACAAGAGATTGTGGAAATTTTTTACGAATTATTTCCAAAGGTTGTTGTACAAATTGTTGACACAAAGTGAGACTATTTAGCATCCACTGAGGTAAAACCTTCCATTGTTATCTCCGAACTGGCTGTGAGTTATTAAGAGTTGGCCCCGCAAATGCAAATTTCTATATATCACTTTCTTGTAATGGTATGGTGAAAAAGCAGTCTTTCAGGTGAATTACTATGATCAACCATCCTTTAGGTATTAAGGAAGTGGCTGGTAGATTGCTCTTTGTGACCAGCCTCTAGCTGTTCCTGTACAAACTTTTCTAGAGCCTCTAGTTTTCCAGAGGACAAAGGCCATTGCCCTATCCAGAGTGGTTCATCTGTAAGCCATTTTAATGGCAGGGCCTTTGGTTCCTCTGAAGGCCCATCATTTGTATTTAGTGTCTGTACAGCCTGGGTAGTTGGTAACCATTTTCCATGGCGTCTTACCCGATCCTTCCTATTATCCAGCGATTTTCTAGAATTCGTATCTGACATTGGAGTGATGTTAATTTGAGTATTCCATTGCTGTAAGAGATCTGCCTTGTCAGGTTTCAGTCTTCCTTTCTGTCCTTCTGGTACAATGCAGACCACCGAGTGAACACTCCGTTGAACTCTAGATAGAGTACCAATTCCTAAAAATTGTACATTTGCCTCTTTAAGAGGTCATTTCTGAGGCCAAGACTTCTGGGTAATAATAGTTACATCAGCCCCCGTGTCCACTAAGCCTTTAATAACTTTACCATTGATTTTTATTTCTGAGGCCTAGAATCATTAATAGAAGTTTGCAAAAATATGCGTTTTTTCAGTCACATTTGATTCTTCATCATTATTCAAACTACCATCTAGAGCAGTATCATTTTCCACAATAGGCAAGGAACTATCTATTTGTCCTGTGAGAGATTGTCTCCCATTGCCATTGGGAACAATCGGACCTTTCTTGATGTGGGGGCCCGCTGGAGTCCCCCTTCGGAGTTCCCCGATGTTAACAGGTACCCTTGTATGTCCCTATTCTATCTGCATTCATTAGTCCAATGTCTGCCCTTACCACATCTCCTACAAAACCCAGAGGGCAAAGACATTTCATGTGGGGAATCACTAGAATTTTTTTGCCTACAATTTCTCCTTATATGTCCCATTCTACCATAGCTGAAACATCTATTCTCCTGATGCTTCCATGGACTCCTGGAGTGTGCTCTTCCTATATGAGGCTCTGGGTCATGGTAGCGATGAACATTGGCTTCTCGATACCTGTATGAGTCCCTGTAAGGTTCTTCTTCTTCCCAAGTCCTTCTGTTACTATCTCTCCTAATCTTCTTCTGTCTGTTGAAACCTCTTGGGACAGCTTCTCCTGCCCAGATTTTAGCATCTTACATGTTACAGTCAATGTGGGTAGTATGCAGAACCCATTATTCTAGTGGAGCCGATCTGATCTTTAAAGGCAAAAGTATTCTTTTACATATTGGGTTTGCATTGTCATAAGCTAAGGTATACAAAATCGAATGTCATATCTCTGAATCTGCTATTTGTATGTCTACTGCTCTGGTCAACTGGTCTAAGAAGTCCTTATATGGTTCTGTTTGTCCCTGTTCTATTTTGGTATAAGCTTCTAGTTGTTCTTCCGGCTCACGAACCTTATCCCATGCATTTAGTGCTGCTGTTCTGCATAGGGACAGCATATGGTCATCATATTCAGCCTGAACCTGTGGGTCAGCATAAATACCTTCTCCTAGGATCTTCTGGAGGGGTGCATCAACCCCATCCCTAATGGCCTGCCACTGTACGGGTTTCCCCTCCCCTCCAAGTAATGCCTTCCATTTAACTTGGCAAGAATTCTCAAGGACAACTGAAACCAGTCCTACCCAATCTGTGGGTGTCACCCTGTTAAAGGTGGCCCATGAATGTAACAGCTGTTTTATGTATGGGCTATGAAGACCATATGAGTCAACTGATTCTTTAATATGCTTAAGCTCTTTCAACTGGATTGGTTGCCATGCATACGATGTCTGTCCCTGGGAGTGTCTTTTAGTTGGTTGCTTTTCCACCCCCATGGCCGGGTAGACTAAAAGTGTGTGCGTAATTACTTTAGAATGATTGAAATACCTGTTCGAAGTAGGCACCTCAGATTGGAGTGAGTCTGCTTCCTCTTCATCAAATCTATCCTTCAGCCTGGCCAGGACATCCTCATGGGAGGTTTTAATCTCATTCATCATGAAAGATTCAAAGCATGATATAGGATCCACGATTTGCTTTGACAATTCTCCTGTAAGGTTTTCTAGACGGGTAATACGTTCATCCCTAGCTAGCATCTGGGTGGCGTGGAGATTGAAATTTAGAATCAAGGTTGTGATTTGCCTCACCAATCGACTTGATAGACATTTCAAGTTTGTTATCCCTGTTCTGTAATTCATCTTGTAAACTTTGAAACTCAGTTCTAATTCTACCAATCTCTTTCGCATTTTCCAGCCATTGATTTAATGGCATTATCCGATTGTTGAAGCCTATTCTGTGTATCTTCTAACTTAGTAACAAAGGAATAGGAGAGAGAGACTATTTGAGTTTCTAGTTGGTTACATATGTCCTTTAATTCATCACAGTCTGTTGCCTGTGTAGCCCCTAACACCTCCAAAACATTCTTTGATTCATCATTGTCTGCTGCCTGCTTGGCTTGTAATGATCTAAAATATTTTTCAGTTCATCATGGTCTGTTGCTTGCTTGACCTCTGATGCCTCTAAAATACTCTGTAATTCATCATGGTCTGTTGCATGCTTAACCTGTAAGGCCTCTAAAATAATTTTTAATTCATCACGGTCTTCTGCCTGCCTAACCTGTAAAACCTCTAAAATGGAGCATTTCTCCGTTTTTATGTTATTATAAATGTGTTGCATTTCAGCTTGAGTAGTAGACAGATCTGCCTGTATTGTATAAAACATAGAACGAAGCCTATCATCCAGTTTCTGTTCTACTATCTCCATAAGTGTATTATAAGTTATTCTTGTCCCTTCGAAAACCTTGTTATGCAAAGCTTGCATGTCCTGTAGGCAGGTGGGGAAATCAGCCTTCCCTTTGTTCCTGAGGAATGACAATATGTGAATTAATACATTCACAGCTAATAAGACATATAAGCCAACATTCAGCAAGTCAGCTTGTTTCTCCAGCACTGAATGCGCATAAGAATAGGAGAGATTATATAGTGGGAAGGGTGACAGAAATTCAGCTACATTTACTGTAATGCCATCTTCAGGTGCAGTAACTACATCTGACCAGCAGGTGGAGCAGTCACGTCTATTTTGAGTAGGATCCGAAACTTTCAGAAAATTTCTAGACACTAAGAAATTTTTAGAACGTACCTGGCGGGTATTTGTGTCAGGCAGGTGACTGTGCCCACAGTTAATTTGAAAAGACTCACTCAGCAGCAGATGCATCCAGGGTCTGGCCCAGCGGATGGTGGGCAGAGCCCGGGAAACAAAGAAAGCAGCATCGAGAAGCTGAGGTGGGGACAGCACAGTGGGAACCTGGGACAGGAACTCGAAGCAGCAGTGAGCGTTTTCTGTGGATTAAAGCTGTAAACCCCAGGCTGTGCCAGCCAGGCAGCTCTGGATTTCAGGCTGCAGACACACACATGTAGCTAGATTTGAGCGAGCATGTGGCAGACACGCGGCTTTTCTGCCAGCAGCTAGGGTAGCAGAGGCACAAATTGGAAAGTGTGACAGGGAGTAGCAAAACATCGCCCATTGGGCAATGGGTGTCAAGTGATGAGATCGATCTGCAGTCCAAAAGGCTGAGATTTCTTTATTCAGATAAACACCAGCCAATCACAAGCCAAAACGTGCCCAGAGCTCACAAGCTAGTGTGGCCAGAGAGAAGGGAGGTCTCCTACGTGTCTGCCCCCTAAAGAACTCCCCACACATCATCCTGGACCCCACGACCAAGCCAAGACAAGCGTGGTCAGGCACACCTGTAGCCGGCCTTTAGGATGTGTGGCTACGGTGTCTCCCTACAATCATGTGGTTTTTCTTTTTCAGTTTGTTTATATAGTTTATATAGTTCAGTTTGTTTTGTGGATTACATGGATGAATTTTCACATGTTGAACCATCCTTGCATCCCTGGGATGAAGCCTACTTGATCACAGTGGATGATTTTTCTGATGTGTTCTTGGATTCGATTAGCCAATATTTTGTTGAGTATTTTTGCATCAATGTTCATGAGAGATATTAGTCTGTAGTCTCTTTTTTACTTGTATTTTTGTGTGGCTTGGGTATCAAAGTGATTGTAGCCTCGTAAAAAGAGGTTTGCAATGTCCCTTCTGTTTCTATTGTATGGAACAGTTTGAGGAGTACTGGTGTTAGCTCTTGTTTGAATTTCTGGTAGAATTCTGCAGTGAAGCCATCTGGCCCTGGGCTTTTTTTGGTTGGGAGGCTTTTGATGACTGCTTCTATTTCATTAGGGGTTATAGGTCGATTTAAACTGTTTATCTGATCTTGATTTAATTTTGGTAAGTGATATTTATCCATTTCCATTTTTTTTCTGATTTTGTTAATTAGCATGCTCCCTCTCTGCCTTTTGGTTAGTTTGGATAGAGGTTTGTCTATCTTGTTGATCTTCTCAAAGAACCAACTCTTTGTTTCATTGATTCTTTGTAATGTAATCTACTTTATTGATTTCAGCCCTCAGTTTGATTATTTCCTGGCATCTACTCCATGGTGAGTTTGCTTCTTTTTGCTCTAAAGCTTTCAGTTGTTCTGTCAGTTCTCTAGTGTGACTTTTTTCCACTTTCTTCATGTGGACACTTAGTGCTATGAACTTTCCCTTTAGCACTTCTTTCAGAGTGTCCCATAAACTTGGGTATGTTGTGTCTACATTCTCATTAAATTCTAGGAAGTCTTTAATTTTTTTTTATTTCTTCCTCAACCCATGAATGGGGCAATTGGGTGTTATTCCATTTCCATGAATATGTAGGTTTTCTGCAATTTGTATTGCTGTTAAACTCTAACTTTAAATCATGGTGATCTGATAAGATACAGGGGGTTATTTCAATTCTCTTGTAACTGTGGAGGTTTGCTTTGTTGCCATCTATGTGGCCAATTTTAGAGAAGGTTGCATGTGGCGATGAGAAGAAGGTATATTCTTTTGTGTTTGGATGGAATGTTCTATCGATGTCTGTTAAACCCAGTTGGGTCATAACTTCTGTTAGATCCTTTGTTTCTTTGTTAAGTTTCTGTCTGGTGGTCCTGTCTAGTGGTGAAAGGGGGGTGTTGAAGTCTCCTAATATAAGTGTGTGTGGTTTTATGTGTGGTTTGAGCTTTAGTAATGTTTCTTTTACAAATGTGGCTGCCTTTGTATTTGGGGCATAGATGCTCAGGATTGAGACTTCATCTTGATGGACTTTTCCTGTGATGAGTATGAAATGCCCTTCTTCATCTCTTTTGATTGATTTTAGTTTGAAGTCTAATTTGTTAGATGTTAGTATTGCTACACCAGCTTATTTCTTGGGCCCATTTGATTAGAAAATCTTTTCCCAACCCTTTACTCTGAGGTAACGCCTGTCTTTGAAGTTGAGGTGTGTTTCTTGTATACAGCAGAAGGATGGATTCTGTCGTATCCATTCTGTTAACCTGTATCTTTTTATGGGCAGGTTAAGACTGTTGACATTTAGGGATATTGATGTCCATTGATTGTTGGTTCTTGTTTTTTTGGATTTATTGTTGGTGGTGTCTTTGTGTGTGGATATCATCCTCCTGTTTCTTTTCGTGTTTGGTAAAACTGGATTATCTATTGCCTATGTTTTTGTGAGTGTAGTTATCTTTGTTGGGTTGGAGTTTTCCTTCCAGAAGTTTCTGTAGTGCTGGATTTATGGATATGTGTTGTTTAAATCAATTTTTGTTATGGAATATCTTGTTTTCTCCCTCTATAGTGATTGAAAGTTTTGTTGGGTACACTAGTCTGGGTTGACATCCATGCTCCCTTAGTGTTTGTAGGATATCTATCCAGGACCTTCTGGCTTTCAGAGTTTCCATGGAGAAGTCGGGTGCGATTCTGATAGGTCTGCCTTTATGTTACTTCGCATTTTTCCTTTGATGCTCTTAATATTTTCTCTATATTCTGTAGATTTGGCATTTTGATTATTATGTGTCAGGGGGACTTCTTTTTGTGGTTCAGTCTGTTTGCTGTTTTATAAGCTTCTTGTACTTTCATAGGCATATCCTTCTGTAGGTTGGGGAAGTTTTCTATGATTTTGTTGAATATGTTTTCTGTACCTTTGAGCAGTATTTCTTCACCTTCTTCTCATCCTATTATTATCAAGTTTGTCCTTTTCATGGTGTCCCATATTTTTTTCTCAGTTAGAATGAACCTTCTCACCTCCCTGACATGTCCACAGGCCACTCTCTGGTGATGTCAGAGCCTGTCAAGTTGACAATCCATATTAATCACCAAAGACATTTACTTCCTTTTAAAGGGTGGAAATCAGAGAGCTTTTTAGACAGAAATGAGAAATAAAAACTTTAGCTATTTTCTACTTTTGTTTGTTTTCTTTTTGGGACATATTTCAAACAAACGTCCTTGTCTTAATTTTAATCCCAAGATATCCATTATATATTTAATATTTATATAACTTTCATTTCACATAACATGGATGTGTTTCCTTTTCCTGTTAGTTTTCTGAATCCATTAAATTAACATGATCTCTCTGTTTATTATAATCTCCTGGACAAAGACATGGGCCTTTAAACTCCCATATATAATTTTTCAATGTTCCTATAATTTTTTCCATTTCTGAACAACTACAGGAGGTCCCATGGATTTCCGATACCTCCTTATTGAAACCCATGTTCCTGGGTTCTGGATCAGTCCCATGCTGGTATCCCATCTATCAGTCTGGGGACCAAGAGTTCCCTGTTGTTCAGGTC